GGGGGGGGGGTCTTGTCAACAGTAGATGTGACCAGGGCCTTGGTAGAGGGAGCACAAAGAAGCGAGGGAGGGAGGAGGAGAACTGAGGAAACCACTTGGAGAAGATGCAGAGGCAATGTGAAGGGCCGCAGCATGGGGCCCCCGGGTGGGGGTAGGGATATGCAGAAATGGGGGCAGTCAGGCAGGGTGGAGCCCTGCTGTCCATACTGAAGCTTTGCTGAAGCTCCTGGGTTCACTTGCTCTGAAATCGCAGCTACCTCCACTGGTGGCTCACTGAGCCAGGCCCTCTTCTAATCCCCCCACCCGGCTAACTCATTTTCTCCTCAGTGTGTGTTTGTAGGAAGGCACTGCATCACCCGGGCTTATCCACAGGAGGTTGGGCACAGCAGTGGGGATGAGGGGCTTGCTCAGACTCACACAGCTTTAAGTTGGACCTGGGCCGCCTGGACCTGCATTGTCACACCTCGGCTGCCTTCAGGTCTCCAGAGACAGGCGCCTCCAGTGTGCTCAGCGAATTGCTTTCGGCTGAGTGCAGAGGCGGCAGGAGCAGGAAGCCTGGACCCCGGCACTGCCCTCCACCGCTTGCCAGCCCTGCAGGGCCGTGGGCACAATCAAGATTATGCCAGGAGGTGGTGTGCAAACTGCAGCGTGCCTCACAAACGGGAAGGCACCTTCAACATTTACAGCAATTGTAAATTACAGAGTCCCAGGACTGAGTTTCTAGAGGTCTGTGCGATTTCAAACCAGACTGGTGTCCGTGTGTCGTCTCTGCGCATGATACACAGGTGCGACCTGGGCTTATGTTAGGCGCTGGCCGATCAAGTGCTCAGAGCCGCTGGCCTGTGTCTGCCAGGCCTCAGAGACCCTCTGCTTGTGATCCATCTCACACGCGCTCATGGCCATCTCCTCGAAAGTCACACAGCAGGGAATGGCAAAGCTGCGGCGGAGCAGTGCTGACCTACTACTGTCACCCAAGTCCCTTTCTGGGCATTTGTGGGGGGGAACACTAACCTAGGGCCCTGGAGATGAAGCATCTGGCTCCTGGAAGACTGAAAACATCTGCTGAATGGAAATATATACCAGGCAGCACCTCCCAGGGCCTGGTATACAGAAAAAAAAACACAACCAAGGGATAAAATAACTTTCTTTTATTCACTTTGATTTGGATCATTGGAAATACTCAACAATAAATAAAACAAAGCAGGGGCTATAGGAAGTGGATTCGCTAGCATCATTTAAAGCCCATCCAGATCAATCAACGCTCAGCTGCGGAGTGAGGTGCAGGGGAAGAGAAAGCAAACTTCAAATCACCAACAGCCAAGTGAAAGATTGCAGAGAGGAAAAAGTGCTCAAGAAACTTTGGCTTTGAAGGGGATCTGGTGAAGGACTAAAGGGGTTGGGCAGAAGGGAGGGAGGCAGCTCCTGAGCGGGCTGGGGCTAAAGCTGCCACCCGAGCCAGATGCCTGGCAGGCGGGTGAGCCGTGGCAGCCAGACAGGGTCCTGGTGGGGGGCTCACTGCTGCAATTTTCAGTGTCCCTATGGTAAGGAGGAAGGTTTCTAACTCCCCACTGGCCGACCCACACAGCCTGCCTGTCCTGTCCCTGCCGTTCCCTCCCTGAGCCAGCGTGATGCCCTCAGAACCTGCCAGTGGACCACAATGGCGAGGGGTAGCCTGAGCTATGTGGCCACATTTGCTGCAAACCAGGTGTCCACCGTGGACAGAGTAGTGTCCCGAGTTCTCTGGAGCGTGACGTCAGCTGCTGGCTTCAGGGGGTCACCCAGCTGGCCAGCCTCCTTGCCCGGACATGGCCACTAGGGACTGGGCTTCCCAGGAGAGAGCATTTCTCCTCAGCACCCGGTAGGGGAAGAGCTCTCGTCTCCACTTTTCCAGTTTTCAGAAGCGGCAAGCAATCCTCGCAGTCCTAAATGTTCTCTCCACTTTTGACCTGGAACAGATTCACGGTTTGCGTGGAGGTAGAATTGGCCCTTTGTGTACCCGGGGGCCACCGCAGAGACTGGGGTCCCATCCGGGCTCCTCAGTCTGACCTGTGCCTGTAACAGTCACCAGGTCTCTCTTCTGCTTCACTATTCTGCGTCCTGTTTTCTGGGATCTGACTTCTTTTGCCAAGCTTGGCCCACGTGGTTTGTTGGATCCACTTGACAAAGCCAGAGATTCAAAAGGCATCCAGTTGGGAATTTTATCTCCGCCCTGAATTCCTCTGGGAGACAAATGCTAAGAGTCTGCCTTCCTTTCTCCCCTAACAGCAGGTAAGGACCAGGGAGGGTGGGGTGTGGGGTGCCGGCTGCAGAAACTCAGGTTCAGCTCTGTGGGACGATTAGGGGCCCCTCCACTCTGCCTGAGCCCAAGGTGGTCTCCCAGCAAGGGCGCTCTCCTGGCTCCAGCACACCCCAATTCTCCGTCATTCTCACCTGGGCTTAAACTGAGCAGCGTACATTTAATTCCAGCTTTCATTTGGTTACGTACACCTCGCCAAGCACATGTCTGCTGGGATACAGGAAGAGAAACATCACCGGCAGTCTCTTACCCTGGGTGTTGCACGGCACTAAGGAGCCTGCTGAGGGCCCTTCCGGAGGCCTAGGACCCAGCAGCCAGGAGACAGAGCCTCGTCAGACACCTACATCTGGTTCTTCCCCAGAGGAGGCTGGGTGGGCTCTTGCCAGGAAAGCCCACAACTCTGCATTTTAAATGCGGAGGCAACAGCATCCCAGGTTTGCTCTCACTGTCTTTGCTGCGTGCTCTCTGTCACAACTGGTCACCTTTGCGAGTCACATCCTTCTTTGGGCCTTGCTTTTCCCATCTGTAAAATGCAGAGCTGTTCGGGACCCTGGCGGCAGGGTCCCCCTATCCCCGGGCAGTGGGGGGCAGATGGAGGCCAGACACGCTGGGCAGGCAGCTTCACTTCGGAGACCTTGGGTCACTCAGCAGACCCAAGCAAGCAGCCGCTCCCTGGAAGCTGTCATCCCAAACAGACTCAGCAGTAGGCGAGGGGGCACTCAAGGTGAGCACGCCTTGCTGTGCCCACGTGCACTCATCTCAAGTTCGACCCCGCGATGGATCAGCATGAGCTGAGCTCTTCTCATGATGCATGACTGTGACTTCTAACTCCAGGCCGCACATTCAGAATGAGGACCTCACGATTTACCAGCCGCTGTCGGGCAAGAGTCCCAAGATTCTTAAAGCTGACATAGGCATTCTAAACAAAAACACAAGAAACAAACAAACAAACAAACAAAAACCCTTCTGGATTCTGAACCTCTGAGAATCTACAGAAAGCTACAGCACAAATGCTCATCCACAGGCTTGAGGCTTGCGCTTCCCAGGGATGTTTGCAGATGGTCTGAGGCCCTGTGTGGTTCTCAGCTGAAGCCACGAGCTCAGCCCCTGTCCGCTGCCTTCCTGGTCTGAATCTGGGGGACCTAACCTACTGTACCCGGAAACTGTCCCACCTCCTCACCGAACATTGGCCTTTGGGAAGTGTTCTCCACAGGAAGTGGCTTTTCTGAGTGACTGTCAGTGAGTCCAGCCAACAGTCACTGTCCCTGTGCGTGTTCCTCTGATTCCCCTGGCCAGGGAGGTGGCGTGAGTGGGAGGCTCCTGGCCTGAGAGGAGAAGGGAGGAAGGCTGGCTGTGCTGGGGGGAGTGGCTGGGACCACCCCACAGCCCCCCAGCGATTGCCCTGGAACCTGCCCCGGCCACAGCCAGCCTTGACGGCTCACACCCCAAGTGCGAGGATTCCTAGAAGCCTGCCTTCAAGCTCCCCGCTCCCAGATGCGGGAGAAGAAACAGAAAATGAAAACACCAGGGGCAGCAGCACAGCCAGAGCACACACACGTCAGTTGAATTTAAAAAATCAATAAATAATTAGGAAGGAGGAGGAGGAGGAGAAAGATTGAGGAGACGAGGTATGTGCTGCTCACTGTTCCTGGGAAGCCCCCCACACTGACCCCCACGAAGGTGGCTGTGGGGCTGGCCCAGAGCTCAGGCACTGGGGGAGATGCAAGCTGGGAGGCTCTATGTGGCCGGGGAAGGTCACTGGCACCGAAGCCAAAAGTCCAGGGAATGCCTGGGTGTTCCCCACCAATGTACCCTTATGCTCCTTCAAGGCACTGGCTCGGGAAATTAACAAGAGGCTTCCAGCTATCCGGCAGGGCACCCCCTGGTGTAGGCCCCTTCCATGACCTGGGGCTTTTGTCCCATTCAGCCAGTGCATGCACTTCTTCCTCAAGCATAAAGGCACATGAAGTAGTCAGAGCTGGTCCTGGCACTAATTGGAACCACGAGACTGATGAGAAAGAACTCGTGTGGGCAGAGGCAGCTGCTCCTGTTGGAAACACGGCCAGGTTCCTATGAAGACCTCTAGGGTCCGTTGGCTCACCCGGTCATCATCAGCGAGCTTCAGGAAGAAAGGGACAGTGGGGTTGTCACACCAAGAGAGCAGCCAGGCTTCATGCAAACAAGGCGGCAGCATCTTCTCCTTGTGCCTCTCGGCCCAGCGTGGCTCCGTCCTGGAGGTTACTGTCACTAACATACACGCCAGTGAGAACAGGAGTTTCAGAGCCAGCGCTGGACCTTGCAGTGGCGACTGGCTCTGCCCATCTTTCCTAGGAGCTTGTCTGTCTTCATAGAATGCAGGAGTTTTTAATATTGCCACCCCCCCCACCAAAATAATTACCTTTCCAAGCATCGCCCCCTTCCCTCAGCACTGGGACAGCAGACGGGGGAGCTTTTCGAGGTCCTAGGACTTGCTGTGCAGCCCTGGCACAGTGGGGTGACTTTGCTGAGTCAATGCTGCCTAAAGTGGGGGTGCAGGAGGCTACGAACAGCACCTGGGCACACCCCTGGGGGCTGGCTCTGGAAGCTCCCAGAAGGCTCCGGCTGTGGTAAGACTGGGGCTGGAAACCAACAGGCGTGATGTGGTCAGTCCACCCTTGACCCTCTGGAGCATCATCTCCCCTTGAAGATCCGGATTTTGTTGATGGCTGCCAGAGTGGCCGTCACATTGGACTCAAAGTCTGCATCATGCACTCCTGTCTTTCGGAAAGCCCCCGCTGAAGGGTTGTTCTCCCAGTAGTGGTGCCAGTTCCCCTTGCTGTCTGCCCCAAAGCCGTACAAGTCCACCTGCAGGGGCGAAGCAAAGGTGAGCACTAGGTGTAGAGACACAGTGGAGCCCCCAGGACAGGGAGCCTGTGGGCACCCCAAAAATCTACATGAGGGTCTACACCCAGCTTTCAGACAAGCCCCTCTCCAGCTTCCTAGAATTCCCAGGGCTCAGGGAAGCCATAGAAAGTCAAGAAAAACTGAAGTTCAATGGCAGCCCGCAGGCACTTGGGAGCTGACTGCAGGTGTCTGGGCCTGAGGCGGGGTGGCCTGTCCTGGGGCAACAGCAAGGTCTGCTCCAAGGCTGGAGTCCCGAGGCAGGGAGGGCATCGGGGAGGAGGGTGGGCTTTGGAGCCAGGCACATGGCCCCTTATGCGGCTGGCCCTGGTTGTGTCAAACCGCTTCTCTGAGCCTCACTGCCCTTGTCTCAACAAGAATGACATTCACAAGACGCAGGTGACAGGGACCGATTCTTTTCTTCCTCAAGGGAAACATCCATCTGGCTCAGTGGCCTTCAGTGAAGGGAGCTGGACCTTAACATGTCTGAAAAATGTGACTAAGCGCTGACCGTGTGCCTGGCACTGTGCAGACATCAGACACCACTGAGGCAGTGCTGGGGAATCAGAAACACACATGGCAGGCCTCAGCCTTGTGGCATATTATAACAAACGGAAGTTACTGCTAAGATTAAGCCATTCTTGGTGGAACGGGCTGAATTGAGGGTTCCATTCAACGCTGAGGAGCTGAGGGCTAGAGGAGGCTCTTCCACCAGGGTCATCAGAGTTGCGTCTTCAAGTGAGTAGATGATGACCAGGAAGCAGCCATGTGGAGGGGGCTCTAAGGAGAGCGCATGCCATGGTTGAAGCCTGGAGGACATATTTGAGGGCCAGGGACAAAGCAGGGCCAGGGGACAGCTCCATGGAAAATGCAGCTTTTTATTAAATGCCTGCACAGACATCAGGCTGGACGGGATGAAAGGACTGGACCTCCTCTTCTGTGACAGAGCCCCAAGGGCTCAGTGACCAGAGGGCTGGAGAGGTTGGGTGGGAGGCTGCGGTCTGCCCTGCAGTCCCCTTGGCATATTCTCCTAGGTTCTGTCCAGGAGCCAGGTGGGGTGCGGGCAGGGACTGAGTGTCCACCTGAACTCAGGCCCAAGGAGAAGAATCGGAGCAGGGCCCACGTCCCTGCACCTCTGCTCAGGCACCCAGCCTGGGGGCCACTTGCCAAGATCACTAAGAAGTAGCAGGATCCCCACCTTCCGGCTCCCACCTCCAGAAGCTCTGCTGGGACTGGGCCATGCTGCGGCCTGAGTGCCGAACATAAGCCCGCAAGTGATTCGAACATCAGGGTCAGAATCCAGCCATTTAGACGGCAAAGCATGGCCCCGAAAGGCTCTCCCTGCTAAAGCCCGTCCTTCAGCTGCTGCTGACTCTGAGCTGCCCCAGCCCTCGCCCTGGATGGCCTTGGGCAGTGACCAGAGCGTGCCAGACTCTTGCACCTGAGAACTTTCTCAGAGAACACTGTGACTCCTGAAAGGTCCCATGAGATGGGCATGAGGAGGCCGGGGCAGAGACGGCAGCCGAGCTTCTGCAGAGCGGCGAGCCAGGGTCCCTAACAGCGCCGTGCGGAGGGTACATACCTCATCACAGACGTGCATGGAGAAGATGACCGAGAGGATGCCGGTGGATGGATACCGCCCATGGCCCTGCAGCCAGTTGTCGAAGACATACTTGATGAAGGCAGGGTGGTAGATCAGGATCTGTGGGGAGAGGGTGCGCCCTGGCTGAGCCCAGCTGGCCAAGGACATGGCCACAGGGACACAGCCAGAGGGGCCCTGAAAACCACCCCGGAACTGGAGGCTTCTGTGCTGGAGGAGGGTGGACCACAGCCTGCAATCCCAAGAGACTGCGGGAAGGGTGACAGAGAGGTCTGACAGGGGCAGCAGCCATGGAGCACGGGCAGGAAGGCTCAGGGAAGGCGGCACCTAAATGGAAGTCCAAGGAGGCCAGGGAGTGAGACCTGGCTCACTAGGAGTCGGGGAACCGTTCGAGGTGGCAGTGGGATCCTGCCTCACACTTGCACACATGAGCAGCCGCTTGCTCTGCCGGACACTGGCCACTGGTGGGAATCGTTTCCATTCCCCAGATGCCTGGACACTTGTGGCTTCCCTCCCGTCATGTCACACAGCAGGAGCTGAGCCCCCACCAGCCTCCTCAGGGCTCAGGCTGCTGGGCAGCACCACAGGGGCGGGTGCCTCAGGACTGGGATGGCCTGGGGATTCCCACCCATGACAAGTGCGCACCCTATTGGGAAGGCCTCTCCCACTGCTGAGCTCTTTTCAGGGGAGAAGCCAGATGGGGGCCACACCCTGCCTGCGGAGCCCCACTCACCTTATGCTGTTTCACTCTGATCTTCGTGGGGACCGGGATGTAGGTGCTGCAGTCAAGGGAAGAGGAGGTGCTCAGCGGGGCAGTGTAGGGAGGGGTCCCCGGGGGCGAGGCGGGTGAGAGGGCCGGGCAGCAGGGCCTCTCCAGCCTGTCCCCCACCCTTTCTCTTAGGACCACCCCGCTTCCAGCCAGGCCCCTTCGGCACTGCCCTGCTACAGACACCAGAGGGCAGCGCTGACTCACTCTACAACGCTCCATGGTTTGAGCCCATTTCGCCAGAGGTGCAGGGAGCCTGGCCCAGGTCCTTTCCACCTGGGCTGCTCCGTCACTACCTCCCCAAAGGCCTAACCCGATGCAGTCCCAGGCCCCAGCTCATGGGAGAGCTGGCCTGACACCAGCGCCCTGTGAAATGCTGGCCATGGCAGCCACTCCTCCCTGGGATAGTCGGGACACAGGGATCGGACCCAGATGTTACACAAGCTCTGGCTCAAGCTCAACGTTAGGCAAGTTCTTTGGCTGGGCCTGGGGCTCCCAGGAAGCTACTGCACCGCTGGCCTCTCACCCCAGCCGAAGCCCCTTTATGGTTTGAAGAGCAAAGTTATTTCAGAGTCACGTGAGAATGAGGGGGTATTTGGAGTCCTTAGCAGAGGGTGGTAAAGCCCGCAGCTTCACAGATGTGGTGGGAGGAGATGGGTACAGGTGTCCAGCTGGGGGCCGGGGCCCAGGACAGCAAAGCCTGTGGGGCACCGGAGGGCAGAGGCAGCCAGAGGAGGGGACTCACTGGGAGATGGTACCAGTGGTGGTGGCACTGACTACCCACTGCAGGTCGATGGTCTTGAAGGGGACCAGGACCATGCTGACGTTCTCCCCCAGCTCCCGGAAGCTCTCGGGATACACCAGGTGGTGCGTGGTCTTGCTCCCCACGTCGGCTTCAAACCCCACTGTGGGTGCCTTGTTCATCCTGGGAAAAGAAGGCGGTGAGGTACACCCCGTGGCTTGGGTGTCCCAGGGTATGGGCTTGGTGCTTGAGAGCTGCAGTGGGGCTGTGACCTCAGGAGTGTCCCCTGTCTCCAGCCCTCGATGCCCCATAGTGGGGACAGTTAAGGTACAGGCCAGAGGCTCTGGGTTCTCTTTCCTTCATGATCTCAAGGGAGAGTAACGCTCCTCATGAGTGTTACTTCCTTACCTCCCTTATGGGACCACACCGTTAGGTATTTTAGGGTCTTTTTTAATGGTTGGGGAAGCCTCAGTTCAGACAGGTTGTTGTAGGCCATGGTGCTACCAAGTGCCAGCCTTGAACTTGAGTCTGTCTGAGCCAAACCTGACTCTGCCCCTGACCGTGGACAGGCACACTGAGAAGCCAGGTGCGGCGTCTAGGACGTAATGTCAGAGAAACAAGGAATGATTGAGTGATACAAGGAGTGATGCAGAGACAAGGTGGATGTCTACAGATAAAGCAACTTATTATAGTAAAGTCACATTACCCAGAAAGACGCGATTAGTGTGTTTAAAGCGAGGGGGAGTATTCTGACAGGGATTAATGGCAAGGTGTCTTTTACTATAAGTAGTTTTTAAATTTCAACAGTCATCGTGTTTCTGATCACATCTTGCTAATCATACATTCATGGCAATTTCTGTCAAACGAAACCCATTACAGTGTGTCCTCGTCTACCTTATTCGCCAGATCTGGAACTGTGAAACTTCTGGCTCCTCCTCAAAGTTAAAATGACCACGAAAGGTCAAAACATTTTGAATCGATTCAGAATACTGCGACAGCCACAACAGTGCACCTAGACTCTCATGAGAGAAGACCTCCAGAACTGCTTCCGAAAGAGGCAAGAATGATAAGTTAAGTGCCTTGGAAGTGAGAGGAAGTATGTTGAAGGGGTACTGATGGCAATGTGTCATTTACTGTAATACATTCCACCGTATTTTTCTGTCACATTAAGCAAAGTCACAGAGGTAGAGAAATGAAAGTCTGTTCTCAAAGACAGCCAGGGACATCCTGTCTGCATCCTGGTTCCGTGTCTCTCTCTGGGGCACTTGTGAGTAAGATGGCAGGGATGGCCCGAAACGCAGGGTAGATTGGGCTTCTTCCTACCATGTCTGTGTTACTTGGAGACAGAGTGATACACCTCGCAATAAAAGCTCACGGCTCTGTTGCGGCCTCGACTGCATGCAGACTGGGGCAGGGGATATGCAAAAGGTAGAATCAGAGTCTTCCACCGACCTTGCCCACGCCAGGCTGCCCATGCCAAGCTCCCAGCCTGGGGACCTCCCAGGTATGGCTTCCTCTGGCATCCATAGAGGCCTTGCTAGTCCATCCCACCCAGTGATGGAAAGATGGGGAAACTGAGCCCAAGAGGGCACAGTGAGAAGCCCAGGTCCCTGTGAAAGTCCAAGGCCCCACATCTGGTCCCTGGGCCTTCTGACCTGAGCCGGATGCTCCCCCCAGCTCCAAGGGGCCCCTGGGTGCAGCCAGGTGGGCTTGGGCTGAGGGCCACGGACTCACCTGAGCACAAAGTCATGGCTGTCTATATCGGCCCCGTACAGGGACTCCCGCAGGTTGCCCGAGTTGCCCACAACAGCACAGCGCCGGCAGCCCACCGAACTCTTCTGCAGCATGGGGTCCACGTTCCCCGGCACCACGCTGAACAGCTCCCTGACAGTGTCGCTCAGGTTGCTGGGCTTCTTCTCCCGCTGCAGCCTCTAGCACAGGGCAGAGGAAGAGGGGTCGGCCTGGAGTGGCCACCAGCAGCCGACACGCCCCACTGTGGTTACTGTGGCCTAGCAGGAGCCCAGCTCTGTAGGACCCCGGTACAGAGGCCCTGACACAGCTGCCCCACCTGCCCAGCAAGGAGCCCAAGGGCTGCTCAGGAAACAGAAAGGACGGAAAGGAACGGCTCACTTGTTCGCTCTGCAAAGTCCACTGGGCACCTGCGATGTGTAGGAGGCTGCACAAGCCCTTGAGAGAAGGACGTGGGCTCACAAGTTGGACAGGGGTGGGGGGCCCAGCTGGGACCTTCGCTCCACCTGTGGCTTCACAGGCCCCTCACACCTGGCCTGCTCCAGCCTGCTCCTCCCCAGGGTTCTCTCTGAAAGATCCTTCGACCCTGAGGATCACAGCCATAACCTCGGGGTGCCATCGCACTCCCACCACACTCCCTGGGCCCTGCAAACCCAGACACAGTAGGGCTGCTCGCCTCTGCTCCTATCTGGACCAGAACACCAGGGGTAGGTGCAGCATTCGTCTCCAGCTGGACCCTGCCTCGCACTGACAGCGGCAGGACTCCTGTCTCTACCTCCATCTCCAGTGCTCTCACCTTCTGCTTCTCAGCACCCCAGGATCTGCAAGCTCCAGCCAAAGAATCAGATGTTCTTGGGATGCACTCAGACCTCTGACTCTGATATCTGCCTGGCAGATGCTTTGCATCTTCTAAGATGCAGCCCAAAGTCAGTGACCCCAGAACTCCCTGCCTGGCCCCCAGCTGTCCTGCTTGCCTGAGACCGAGGGGTTCCCTGGACGCAGGAGTGTCAGGGCTAACACTGGGTCACCCTGTTGGCTGCTGCCCTGCAATACCAGTCTGTCCAGTGTCCCCGGGAGAGCTCTGGCCCGGACTGCGTAGTGGCTCTGTGGGTGCGTATCCTTCCTCGCCCACAGCGAGCTCTGGCAGACTCTGAAAGAGTCTGTCAATGAGCCTGGTGTTGTATCGTTTCAGTGGAGCAGCTAGGTTCAGTGACTTGTCCCAGCTGCCGACCAGGATCTGAACCCAGACTTTCGGGAACCCACCTTAAGGTTCTCCCAGAACACAGCCACTGCCCCAGCTCTTGGGCTTCTGAGGGTTGGAAATAATGGGAGGTGGGCTGTGGGGTGATTCCCATCAGCTCCCCCCACCCCAGGGATGGGGTGGCTGCCAGAGGATGAAGGCTACAGGTGCTTTTGGCCGCTGTTCACAAGGACCAGTGACCAGGTGGGTGTGGGGGGAGATCTTCACCTTGGACAGAAGGAATCTGAATTCCCCTGAAGGAGGCTCCCCAGGAGAGCCCTCTGGTCTCTAGTTAGAACCTTCTGGCATCTCCTCCAGTGCAAGGCCATCAGACTCGAGCTATGGTTCAGACGTGGTCTGAGGGACCCTAAGGCCTCGTATGTTCAAATTTGATCCCTACTGTGAGTATTAAGCAGATGGTGACTTAATTTGATTATGGCGTTTACAGCAGGCTCCCTGATTAGGATTAGAAAAGGTCACTGGGATGGAGCACCCTCTCCTCCATTGAACAGTGGTAGGTTTATAAGGAGAGAGAGAGAGAGAGAGAGCAGAACACACACACAAACACACACACACACACACACACACACACACACATGCACACACACGCTCCTGTGTCGTGCCTCAGAAGTCCCCATATCTGGGGACTCTACCAGCCAGAAGGCCATCACCACACACAGTCCCTTGTGCATACACCTTCAGAACTAGGAGATAAACCTCGTTATGAAGTAGTCACCTCAGGTATTTCATTATGACAGAGGAAAATGGACTGAGAACATGGCACAGGGAAGCACAAGGCACATTCTCCAGACCACACTTCCCACCCACCAGTAGGGTTTGCACAGTGTTGGTGAGGATATGCAGAAAACGGAAGCCTTGGGCATCACTGGTGGGAGTGTACAATGGGGGAAAACAGTTTGGTGACTTCTCACAAGATTAACCCCAGAACTACCCTATAACTCAGCAAGCCCACTCCCGGGAATATCCCTGGAAGGGGAGAAGTACTGCACGGTGCAGGACAGTGCAAACAGAATATTCGGTGCCGGCCTGCAGCAGCCACTTGTCCACAAGCTGCCCTTTCTGTTAGATCCAATGAAGCCTGGCAAGGGCTAGAGGGGGGCACAGTGCGACATCGGGCCAGAGTAAGGTTTCTGTGCTGAAAAGATAAGAGAATTACCAGAGGAATCGGTGCCTTGCTCTGCTGCACAACATTCTTTGGCGCCTCGAGCTTGCCTGCCTCAAGGACACAGCTCACACTGGGATCTCAGATCTGCTCCTGGATCTGAGGCCTAGACCTGGGAAAGGACTCGCCCAGGTTCTCTCATGACAGCATCGTGGCACAGCCAGGGAGAAGTTGGTGGCAAGCCTGAGCTGTCTTTCTGTGGCTTAGCATCCTGATCTGTCCGTACTGCTGCCTTCTCTGCATCTGGGTCTTGGCTGGGATTCTGCCTGCTCAACGGCCTCCGAATGACTCCCTTCATAGACAGCAGCCTGGCATCTTCCTGAGACCACTGCCAACTGTGCCAACCTTGTATACCCCTAGCCTTGTGTTTCATGGGCTTTGCTCCCACGGACACGGAACATGTACCAAACATGCACAGGCTTTCTTGCCATGCTCACCTAAACAACACAGGATAGCAACATTCGCACGGCACTGGCAATGCATTAGGTACTCTAGGTTATCTGGAAGTGATCTCATGTGTATGGCAGGATGTGTGCAGGCTCTGCACAAATACTCTACTATTTTATACCAGGGACCTGAGCACTCATGGGTTTTGCTATCCAAAGGGACCAGGAACCCAATGCTGAGGGTCATTTACATTTCATTTGTTTCTTGTCTATATCACTTGGCCAGACAACGATTCCACAAGAATAATCTTTCTTGCATTTTGACGCCTGGACTAGGTGTCTAGGAGCCATTGCCAAAAGCCGAGAACGTGGCCTTCCTTGGAGAAAGGGCCCCGGCAGAGGAGGCTGCTAAGGGTGTCCAGGTGACAATTCAGGGTGGGCCCTAGTCCCATGACAGGTGTCCTCATAGGGGGAGGGAGCGATCAGAGACATGAGGACCCAGGGGAGAAGGCATGTGGAGGAGGAGACAGCCACGAGGAACCAACCTTGTCCTCACCTTCATTCTGAATTTCTAGTCTGTAGAGGCGTGAGGGATACACTTGTGTTGTTTTAACCCACCCAGTTCCCGGCCATTGATTATGGTACAACTTTAACTTATAGAAAATAGATGCTCAATACACAGTTGTTGAGTGAAAGGACTCACAATAGTCTGAGAGCTGCCAAATGCCTGGCATTCGGCTCTGGCTCCCCCACCCCACTAAGCCCCACCCAGGCTGCGAGCCTCACCAGCCACCACTGGTAGGTGTCCTCCTCCAGGACTGCGTTGTGGGCCGTCAGCAGCGGCTGCAAGGTCTGGTTGAAACGCTTGTCGAACCAAGTGGAGACCTTGCGCTGGCTGATGCAGTGTGCGCAGGTGCAGGGCTGGTTCTTGATCAGCTTCCGCAGGTTCTGCGACAGCTCGAGGACCATCTGCTTGGGGAACCAGGCTGCGGGCACTGTGGTGTGCGAGTAGTTCAGGACAAAAGAGGTGAGGAAGATGAAGAGCACCAGGAAGGTGAGCACTTTGAGGGTCTTCTTCTGCATGGTCATCATCTTTGCTTCCAGCCGGGGGGTGGCAGGGGGACCCCACCTCGCCGATCAGAGACACAAAAAAGTTCCAGAGGTGCAGGCTCAGCTGGAGGGGCCGTTGGATCCCCAGGAAGGTTTCTTGGGCAGCTTGGGCAGACCTCCTTCCCATGGAGAAGCGGCCAGCCCTGGGTTCTGGATGTCCCCGTGTGGCACACGAAGGCCACCTGAGTGTGCTCGGTTTGTCTTTTAGGATATAAGGTTGCCTGTTCTGCAGTCCTGAGAGGGCTGATGGTGATGTCTCTAGCTGAAGTTCTAATTAAATATAATAACAGTGATTTCCTGTCCCATCCAGTCTGGGGACCCTCAGGGGTGAGGACTGGGAAGCTAGGCCTTGGTGACGCCCTCCTCCGGAAAGTGTGGTACACAGATCCTTAATTAGATGCTTGGCTCTTCCGTGCTGTCACCAGGGAGGTGGCAGTTAAGTGGCAGTCTTGATGAGGGCACACAGGCTGTCTGTCATCCGCATAGAGAAGGAAGAAGAAGGAAAGATAACAAGGGTTATAAAAATGTTTCTCTCTCCACACCTCCACCCACACTCCCTCCCTCAGTGTGGCACTGCAGCGGACCCAGAGAGCTCGGTGTGCGGGTGTACACAGTGGGGAGCTTGCATCTGTTGGCGAGGTTGCTCAGCACACACCCCATCCGGGCCTCCACAGCCAGAATCCGGCACAGTTCGCATCCCACGCGAGCATGTGACCGCTCAGCCCCTCTGAGTCCAGCGTGGCGGGGACTGGGAGCCAGGGGTCATCTGCCCCTCTGGCTCCTTCAGTCCCTTCTGGATTCTCAATTTCACCAATGGCAAGAGTAAGAACAAGTCAGAACCCTCCACTTCTGAGGAGACTGAGGGACCTGTGTCTCAAATCACCACCGCCCTGTGTACAGGTGGGCAAGGGTCTTTTTTAGTAAGGAACAGAGGGGAGGAGAGGGCAGCGCCAACGCAGATCTCCACACTGGCCTTACTGCTTCCAGCTTCCAGCCACCTTTAGCCTGTTTTCCTCTGTGGAAAGGACCCCGGGCTCCAGCCTTCTGGAGCCAGCATCTGCACATTCTGTCTCGGCTCTGGGCTGAGGACAGGAGCGGGGCTTGGCCCTTGCGTGGAGCAGGAGAAGTCTGGAGAAGTTAGTTATATCTAGAAGAAGAGTAGCTAAACGTTTAAAGACTTGAAGAGCCAGCCGCTGCAGTGCGAGCCCACAGGGAGATGGCGCTGTGGAGCCCCAGGTAAGTGGGAGGCCCGATCCCGCCAGCCCTGCACCTCCACTCCTCTGCTACGTAAGTCCAACTCCTTTACTGTGCACTGCACACAGTTTGTAAGTTGAGGCAACAGGACTGACCCCAGGTGGCAGCTGCTCCTGCCTCTGGGCCCCATCCAGAAAAACCATGCCGCCTGGTGCAGGTCTTACTCATTCTGCAGGGCTCAGCTGGCACCACTCCTGGGCCCTCCCTGGCCCCCCAGGACCTGACCCTGGCTCTTCTGCCTGCACTGCTGACTCACCTCCCCTCTCCAGTCTGGAGCTCCCTGAGGACAGAAGCTGTCTCACCATGCTATGAGCCTGTCCCCTGGCACGGGGCTAGTGAAGTTCCTGGTGGACAGCAGGAATGCAGAAAGGAAGGGAAAGACATACCAGTCCTGCATTCAGAGGCAAATCTGAGCAAGAAAGTAAGGACCAAGGGCCCAAAGATTGTCATCCTCACCAGGCTGTCCCTCCCCTCACTGTGTGACTATGAACAAGTGACCTGGCCTCTCTGAACCATTCCTTCAAATGGAGCTAACAGATTCTGGTCATAGTTCGGGATATCAGCCCACCAAGGTCACCTACTCATCCCATCTGTTCACTACAGATTTGCTGGTGCCCCTGCTGCTCCAGGCACTTGATGGGCGGTGTCTGGGATCAGGAGAAGGTCGAGGTGAGAACTTCCGGAGCATCAACAGGCCCCAGGGCTTTGGGGGCAGGCAGGCTGTAGTGGCAGCAGGGACATTATTGGGGAATGGAGGAGAGCAGAGCCGGACCTGAGGGTGGGGAGAGTGTGTCAGGCTGTGGAAGCCACAGTCGAGGCTGAGATTTCTCTTAAAATGAATCAGACCCAGAAGGTTAAATATCACAGGGCTTCTCTGATCTGAGAAGCCAAAGTACAAATAAGTGAGGAGCAAAATAAAAAACAGATGATGGGAAACAGGGAGACAGACCACATGAAGATGGGAAGGGAAAGGGGAAGACGGAGACAGGAGGCTCTGGAGGGGAAGAGGACATGAAAAGGATTGCAATATTCACGAGAGTGCTTATCACGGTTCCCAAACATATACTAAGAAAAAAGAGCAGAAAAAAATAAAAAGGGGGGAAATTCCAATGGTGCTAAAACTCAAGGAAGCAAAGGAAGAAATTGGCGGGAGGGTCCGAGCACAGGGTGACCAGGTTCACAACATCTGTGTTGACCACAAGCAGGGCCAGCTGCCCTGACCGCCCCCGGCCAGCGCAGAGATGAGCTCGCTCCGTTCACAGTTCACAGGACAGATGCTGAGCGCAGGGACAAGGCACACTCTGGTCCTTCGCGCCCTGGCTTGGTGGGAGACAGGGATTCTCTGGGCTGATGTGAAGGTGGGGTGAGTATTGGGGGTGGAGGGCAAGGTTGAGAGGTCTGTGCTGCCCTCTTCCCCCTGCATCCTGGTAGCAGCATCTCTGGAGGCCTAGGCCGGATACTCATGTGGATTCCACTTACCAGCACTTCTAGGTGGTATCATTCAGTGCTTCCAAAACCCCCGGGGGAAGAAGTACAATGGAAAAGCAAGCTCTCCTCACCCCTTCCCAGGCCCCAGTGTGACCACCATGAGCTCCCTGAAGTCTCTCAAGTGCCAAGGAATCTACAGACCTCAGTGTGGCCAGCCCCAGCTCCCAGAAATGGAACCTAGGTCACCTGCCCATGGGTGCCCAGTATGTGGTGGGGGCGGCACATCCAAACACAAAGAGGAGGCAGATAGGGACAGAGTTCCCAGTTTTCTTCTGCAGAGTGGCTGTCATCACAGGCCACACGCTGGGAAGAGTGGGAGAAGCTCGGAACCCATGCACAGGACAGAGTCCCCAGCACAATGGTGACCAAGGCCAGCTCTCGTTTGAGGACTTGGAAAATAAGGGGTGGATGCTGGCTGTGTACAGGTAACCTAAGTAGGATGCCGTCCAGCTCCATAGCTTGGGTGCCATGCTCCCTGGTGAAATGGCCCAGTGAGCAGAGCAGGCTGTTGATGCTTCTCCCTCCCAGTGGCCACAACTAACCACTGCGATCCTCAGTCGGCAGGGCAAGGTGGATAACCACCACGCTCATCTACCCGAAGTGGGAAACAGGTCCAGAGAAGGCAAGTAGCTTCTCCAAGGTCACACTGCCCATTTCTGGCTGCCCCTCACCCCTGGGCCGTCTCTCAAAGAACCCAGTCATTCTCTCAAAACCCAGTCTCATGGCTCTCATCTCCAGTGCCTGTCACTTGCACTGTGAGATGGCCATTAGCTTAGTTTCACGTTTCAGTTTCTCAGGTGCGGCTTCCTGTTTGATTTCTGAAAGTCTGGCCCCCAGTGCAACCTAAATACTGGCAAATGCCTCCAAAGAATGGTACAGAACGTTAGTTCTTCCCCCTGGTTTCTTCTGGGTCCTGTAGATGTTGGCTGGCTTGGTTGTCCTGAACTCATTCGAATACTCAGTCCATCTCTCTATCCATCTTTCTGCTCTCTTCCCCAGCCTCGCAAGACTGTCACACTCCGAGCTGCTGGACTCTGTTTCTCTCACCCTCTACCTCCTGCAAGTCAGCACTGTCTCCTGAGGAAGGGAGCAGAGAGGGGTGGGCTCAGCCCAATCTCTCTCCCTTCTCTCTGGGACCTTCGCTCCTCCAGTCCTGGCTTCCTGGACTGCTCTCCTCACCTGCACAGAGCTTGATTTCTATATTTCCAGCTTCTAAGGGCCTAGGTGGGAGAATTCTTTGGTGCAGCATCTGCCATATTCACACATGGATGCCACAGTGTCCTTCCTTTGTCCTTTTGTGTTTCTGGGACCTGGAGTGGTGTCCTGTGCATGTCAGGGGCCTGGCAAATTCACAGGAGAGGGCCAGGGGGCCCAGAAGGGCTGGAGCCTATCTGCTCCCTTCAGGTGTGGACCTGTGTGGGTGGGAGGGGCAGGAAAACGGGCTGCAGAGTGGCCACACTGACCCTGGTGGACATCCTCTCCCTGCCCACGTGTGTCAGAAAAACCTTGGGCACATGGCCCCTGACTTCTAGGCCACCCCCTCTGGAGATCTTGCCGTTGGCCTTTACGATCCTAGTGGCTTCACATGGAAGTGCAGGGTGGCACGAATAAGACGTGGCCAGCGTGAGGACTGCCACAGAGCTGCTCACAGAGAACAGCCCTTTCCCAAACTGCTCTCCACATCCTGCTCAACAGATGCTTGGAATCCATCTGAAGAACCCGTGGCTCCTTCTTGGATAACAGTTGTTGGAATAAAAAATGTCAGAAAGCTCAGGACTCGAACCCCAGCTCTTCCCGTTCCTCTGTGTGAGGGGCCAGCGTTTCACCTCTCCGACCCTCGGTTCTAGAATCTGCAAGTGAGGCTCGTCACGCACAGGGCTGCAGAGGAGGAAGGACTGACGGCACAGAAGGGCCCAGGTCCCGGCACAGCACATGTACCACACAAGGGCTTTCTGTTCCTCCTCCCCGAGCTTCCGACTTTTCATCCGAGCCCTGGCAGGGCTGCTTAGGCCAAATGAAGCCAGGCATCACAGGACACAAACCAGGCCTGATAAGCAAGTTGAGTCTCACCGACTGTACTAGTTGTCTTAGTTCCTCAAGGCACTGGACGGCTGAGCCTTCACTATTCTCTGCTTCAGCGGTCAGAACCTCTAGGACTTGCAGGGAAGGGGCCCTAACACACTTGGGGAAGAGGAGGAGGGAGGTCGGGGTTCCCAGGGGCTCAGAACCCGAGGGCTCAGCAGCATCCACGCCTCAAATCAGGATGTGGCTGGGACCGGGGTTGGGGGCTGGAGCTCTGGGCCGTCTCTTGTGAGCCTCTGCAGTCACCTTCTCCCTGAGAGAGCTTCCTCAGTGTCTCCACCCCTGCCACTGTGCCGGCGGCTGAGTCTGTGCTATGTCTGCCTGGGACTCAGGCACACTGCCTTTGGTGCCACCAAGCTTTACACCGCCCCAGGGAAGGCTGCCAGCGATGGTGACGGACATCCTGTCTTTTGGGATTCATGTTCACAGCTGCCACCCATTTAAGCATGCCCTGTGCACTGGGTAGGGAACAGAACTCAGGCTTTGGGGTTAGCTAGTCCCGGGTGTGAATGCCCAGTCTGCTACTTCCTAGTTGAGCAGCTCTGAGTAAACCAATTATATCACTGGTCTTTACCCCAAGACAGGGCTACCATGTCATCTCTTCAGAAGGATGCACAAGGGTTAAGTGCAGAAGTGCCTGCCATTAACAGATGCTCATTGCATGAAGGTTACCTTCACCGCCAAAGCACAGATAGGAAACTGAGGTTCAGAGTTCGCATAACCAGGAAATGCAGAGTGGGCTTGGACCAGGTCTTTTGTAGCATGTAGAATGTTTTCCCAGAACTGGGCTCCATGGCTGGTTGCCTCCCTCTTTCTTTCCCTCCTCCCTTCCTTTGCTGTACCCTGCACATCTGCTCTGGGCTAGGCATGGATTTCTAGGAAGAACAGCCTGGCCTGGAAAGTGTGTACTCTGGGCAGAGTCCCTCTGGCCTACCTATTATTAGGCAGGGGTGGGTCTGACTTTGGCTTTAATCCCTCAGCCAGAGAATTAGCCTAGTGAGGAACCATGGATCAGTGAGTCCGAGCTGTAGGCTCCTGCCTGGGAGCTTTGCTGGGGCAGATGGAAGCAGCACTGCCCAAGGCCCCTGCTACCTATGGCCCGTCCATCCCCTTACAATTAAGAGCCTCCGAATCTCAGTGGCTGAGTCTGGGTGGCAAACCTCCACTGGTGCTCTTAATCCTGGCAGCTCCCTGGCTATCACACGATGGGGATCTTTGTGATAAGAGGTATGCAGACACCTTCAAGGAGAACTCTGCAAACTGGTTGTTAAGATTAAAGACTGGAGTCAGGCTAGGGAGGTACCTGCAGTACTCATGACCCAAACATCTATTCAAAGGCATAACTGCTGGTGACCAACTCTGTCTATCTGAGGCCTTTAAGGCATCTTGTTCCATGTTGCCACACGGTACCCAGTGCTGGTCACTATCTACTGGAGTTGGGATTTTCTCCTACCTTCTCCATTCTACCTCCTATGAAGCAGGGGCTGGGAGCCTGGAAACGACATTCCTGATTTGGATGAGCAGCAGGAAGAGGCACAGACTTCCGCCTGCCTGAGGTGACAAAGTCTACCCAAAGAACTGAGTTCTGGACTCCTATTGGCTTTGGGCTGGGGAATAAAGTCACTAGGTGAGGGAAGCCAGGAGGGGCTAGAGGTGTGTTGCTTTTGACAAATGGTCCTTGTCCCTACACTGGCTTTGTCTTAGGGTCCCAGCAAGTATTTTCCTCTTGTCCCTGCAGCCCAGGGTTGGAATCATTCCCAATGTTTCCATCCCCAGGGACTGCAGCACGCCATGACTCTGCAAATAACCCTTCCACTAAATTCTCCTCTGGTGCTCACCTTGGGGCCATCGATTGCCTGCATCCTGCCAGCAGGCTGGCCAGTCCAGGCGCCCCACAGGGCTATTTGTTGCATAACTCCAATGGCGTTGTTGCTGGGTGGTTTGTTCAGTGCCTTGGAGGTACCACTCAGGCAGTCCTACCTCCCACCCCTCTGGGAACCAGGCTGCTGCCCCTCTGCCAGCCTGTCCTCTGAGCCCCACCTTCCCTCCCACCTTGGATGGCCACTCTTTCTGGAATGCTCCCAAACCACACTCTGGCTGCTGCAGACTCATCTATCAGCAGGTACAGCTGCCTAGGCTCACTGGTGCAGGCTGACCCAGAGGCTCCCCTGTGGCACTCAGCGTCCCTCCAGGGAGTGCTCCTCCCTTTGGCTCCCTGGTGAAGGCCACCGGCCACCTCCCCAGCATGGTTTTCCACAGAAACTGCAGCCAATGCCAGCAGAAGCCACAGGGACTTTGCCCTGGATGCTCCGGGGGCTGACTGACTACTCCTTACTCCTGTGGCTTGATCACCCCTACTTCTGAGCCCTCTCTACTTTGATCTGCCCAGCCGCCCTCTCTAGTCCACTCTTACTCGGATTGGGCTACCAGAGGATGGTCAGGGTTTTCCTGCAGGCAAAGGCTCACGGGATATCCCTAACCAAATCTGGCAGCCAGTGGTCATATCCACTCCTCCCTCCCTACTGAGGATCTAGCTGGTAGCCCCAACCACCTGCCTTCTTATCCCAGACACTGTTAGCATCTGACACAGCTCTCAAGGACCAGATGGGGCATGAAACAAGAAGATCAGGTCCAATGGCAGGCGTGGTGCAACCATCCCATTTAATGATGAGGCGGCAGCAGTCCTGGGACTTGGGGATCTTACTCAAGGTCAGCTGAGCCACACTGCTGCCCAGTGTGACACAGTCTTTCCTCTCACCTGGGTACACAAAGACACCTGCAGTGCTCCACTGAACAAATCTGGTGCACGCCTGCCTTCACTGCTAGACAGCAAAGCCTGGACCGGCCCAGAAGCAGGACCTACCATGTGGCAGTTCATATGCATGCATCTGTTCCCGAGGGACCAGTGCCTCCAAGGAGGTCACGCTGACGACCTGGCCTCAGTGACTCAGAAGGAGCAGGTGAGTGCAAGTGAAAGGAGGGCTCTGTGAGCGGGTGGTCCACGAGATGGGCTTTTGGAGTTGGGGAGCTGTGGTCTGGATGGATGGGGAAGGTGGAGAGAAGTGGGGTGAGCCAGTCAGAGAATCACCTCCCAGAAAGGCACGCACTGCTGGTGACAGGATGGTAGGTAATGTCAGGGAAAGGAGCAGCCTTCAGTGGGAGCTAGGGATAAAGGCAATAGGGAGCCACAGCTGTTTTGGGAACACAGATGGCAGTGCCTGCAGTGGCATGCAGAGACTGGACCAAAGAGGGGCACACACAGCACCCCATGGAAGCCAAGCCTGCAGAGCAGCTCTGTTTCCATCTAGGTGACTGAGCCTGGTGTTCAGGCTCCCTCGGTTTCCCAGCTCCTTCCTGCACCATCACACGCCCAGGTCCCCCACATGCAAGAGGACCCAGCACCCTGGGAGGACCTTTTGTGGTACTCACACACCCTCCTCCTCCGACCTTGGTGCCTCTTCTTGCTCCCTCACTGGGGACACAGGAGACAAAACAAAAGGCTCCCCTGAATCCCAATGGCAGTTCAGAAGGGGCGGCTAGACAATCGCCCCAGAGGAGCAGAATTAACCAGGATTAGGGTCATGTGAGAAGGAGCCGGGGAAGTTTTCATATTCTCAGCTTCAGAAGAGGAATTTAAATCCACAGATCTTCTTACGCGTGTGGACTGAGGAGTGCTAAATTTGGAGTCTGAAAGCATCCAGACAACATCAGAGTGCGAAACGTGTCAGGAACTAACGGAGTCGTACTGTGGCATGTCCACGCTCACACCTGGCCCCCAAAAGGAAGCACGTCCCTGCTTTAGGGGGTGCAGAAATCACGACAAAGGGAACTCACTGGGTGCTATTAAGGCCCCACCCCTCCTGTGTCTTGGCTTGTGGGCTGCTTTGAAGGCTCTTAGTCCCGCAGCCCTGAGCGGAGATGCAATAAGCTAACATGGCTGAGCAACTCCTTTCTTCCTAGGCCCCTGACTCCCATGGAAATATCTCAACTCTGCTGATTTACAGAGGCATCTGAGAGCCCCATAAAGGGGCTGGGGACAACCTTCATGGTGCCCACAATGCAGGTGCAGACTGCAGTGTAAATGCAGCTGCTCAAATGGGGGCTCCCAGCATGCTCCAGCAGGTGGCTGGCAAGAACCGCGATAAGACACCAGTGTGTTATGATATCCAGTGGGACCTCATGAGGACAAGGCTGCCCCGCCCTACCCCTGAAGAAGGGGCACCAAGAACACTTGTCCAGCTCTGTTGCACACGGAGCCCCAATCTGCTTCAGGTCCTCCTGAGCCTGGCGCTCAGGAAGGGAGGGAGTCCTGGCTCCCTTAGCAAGGGGCAGTTGAGCAGCCACTAGAAGAACTGGAGCCTGGGGGTAGCTTGGGGGGCACTGGCTGTACCTGCACCCAGCACTGTATGCTGGAGGGTTTTGCCTTTTAGATCATGTAAGGATGATGGCGGGGACAAGGAACACCCCAAGGGCGCTCTTCCTCCTGAAACCTGACAATCCTTCATGGCCACCTCCCTCCTTTAAGGTGAAGGATCATGAAGATGTCTCATGGTCTACCACTTACTAGACAGAGGGGCTCAGGCAGGGTTAAGGTCGTTCTCAGGTAGAACTCAGGTCTAGATTCCATTTCCGTGGCGGGGCAAAGCAGTCGGGCTTGACAGCCCCAAAGGTCAACAGCATTCGATCCAGACAAGCTGCCTGGGTCATCCAGCCACATCCCACCCTTGCATGCAAAACAGAGACAACCACAGCATACACCACAGTGGTCCTGCGAGAGCAGGAGAGAACGCAGGGCCTTCACCTGTCTGACCCTTCTCTGGTAGGAGCAGCTGACCTGTGTGCTGACACAAACACAGTGCGGAACACAGTGCTCCTGCAGGTCTAGCAGGTTTAATCCTGCTCATTCACTGAAAACAGCAATGCACTCATTTTACAGAAGTCCAGAAAGGCAAAGCACTCAGCCCAGGGTGGCATCTTCTGCAAGCGTGAAGCTAGAAGTGGCCCACACAGTGTGGCTCCAGACCCCAGGCTTCTTATGCTGCACGTCTACTTCCCAGCTGAGCTGACTGGCAGCCATGGCGCCTGCAGAGCATGGCCTGCGTGAGGTACTCCTGCACCTTGAGTCTTTCTCTCTACTCCTCCCAATGTGAGCATAGGGCTACTCACCCCCTGTCCAGCTGGAGAGAGGGTGCCCTGAGCTGGCGGCTTGCTGTAGGCCTGGCAATGTGACGCGTGGTGACCCAGTGGGAGGGAGCATCCAGTGCCAGCCCGGGCTCAGTTAGCTGACACGTGGGCACTTACTCGGCACTGGGAATCCCCACCCATCCCTCCCCCAGGCTGCTGCCTCTGACCTGGAGGCGGGAGAACTAGACAACTTGTCCTGGCTGCCCACCTCGGGTCCTCCTGAGTGGCCAGCACCACACTTTACAAACAGCTTGTTCTGCCCCATTTGCTTTAAAACACAGGTGTCTTCCCTGCCCCAGGAATGTGGTGGGCAGAGGTGGGCTGCTGCCCTGCTGGCCGCAGGTAACACTGCGTCTGGTGGGTGGGAGTTCCGGGATGTCTCTGATGTGGAGGGACACGCACCACACTGGGCAGGAACCATGGCCCCCAGTCGGGCTCTAAGACTTCACCAGCTGGAGGCCTTGGGAGGTTTCTGCATCCACATGATGGGCGACGCGAACCATTTTCTCTGAGCAGCCTGACATAGCTGCAGGGGCCAGGTGCGCGTGTGAGGGGAAGCACAGTACACGTAGGCTCTCCCCGGGTATGCAGCTCTCCCAGGTGTGAGCACAGCCAGCATCAGGCACCCACATCAACACTGACCAGTCCTCGGTTTCCCTCTGCCCTGCTCTTTCAGTCCTTTTTGCTTGTCCTTCTCCCAGTGAATGACTAACACCCTCCTTTATCAAGGGAGACTCTGGCAGGCAAATTCTGCAAGTGTGTGTGTGTGTGTGCGCACGCGCGCGCGCGCGCACGATCGCACATGTGTGTTGTGTACTTGACCTCCTGCTAATTATTATTCTCAGTAAAGGAATAATCAAGCACTTAGATAGGACGAATTACTAGGATGAATTAACTTTCTCTTATTAACCAGGTAAAAAGCACAAGGTCTTCAGGCTCCACTTACATCTATGATGGTGTGCACAATACACCTGAACACTAGTGTTCTCCCTATGTGATTGATAGAAGTGACATGCAGGCCGGGAAAGAGTCAGGGCCTCTGACCAGCTATGACCCGGAGTCTGTCTGCAAGGCCATCACTCCCTTCCGCCCACTCAGCTCAGCCTCTGAAGGTGCTGACTGAGCTTCAGTCGCCCCACACCTTTCAGAGTGTGCTCTGAGCTCAGGTTCTAGGCACAGAAGGAGTGAGATCTCTTCCGCTTGATGACGGTCCCTAGTTTCTGGCCCAGGATGCTTGTGTTGTGTGTCAGAACCCATGAAACGCCAGCAGATTATTGGTAACCGTAGGACACAATCAGGTCCCAGACTCATGTGTGCTCTCTGCCCATGTTCCCACCTGCCCAAAGGCTCCCATGGGTCCCCGCACAAAGCTCACAGGCTAGCTGCAAGGTCCTCTATGAACTGGTCCCTGACAACGGCCTGGCCCCACATGCTAGGCCTTTTCTCTGTGCACTCTCTCAAGCCAAACTGACCCCTCCGCCATCCTCCAAGTGCACCAAGCCCAGGAGCTAGATACAATGTGTCCTGCTCAGGCTGCTCTGGCCATTAATGTTCGATGATTAGTCAGCTGGTCCTCCCGGGAGAAACTCCCCAGAACCATGAAGTGCGTTACCCTTTTGCTCACCATGCTTCGAGCAGCCAACATCATGCAGGTACACCGAGATGAAGGATTTGCCGTGCATCTAAGTTTCTTGAAGCCAGGTGTGGTGGTGGTGCACACCTGTAATCCCAGCACTCTCGGAGGCTGAGGCAAGAGGACGAAATCAAGCCTAGCCTGGGCAATTTAGTAACTTAGCGAGATCCTGTCTCCAAATTAAAAATAAAACAAGATCTGAGAATGAAGCTCAGTGCAAGGGCCTTGGGTTCAATCCCTAGTAGGGAAAAAAAATAACTAACAGTTTCTTGATTGGCTCCAGGAATTCCCTTTGCCACCCTCAGTGCTCTTAAAAGAGGCTCACACACTTTCCTTATCATCCAGGTATGTGTGTGTGTGTGTGGGGGGAATCGGTATCTTGTAGAGGGGGAAACCGAGGCTAAGAGAGGCCTGGTGGTGGCACACTGCCCAGCCTCACACTGAGTAAGCATGAGCCCCGGGACTTGGGTCCAGAGTTGTTCAGCGCCTCCTGTTGTCGGGACAGCACTCTGCCTGGGCACCCGGATGTTGCAGCAGTCAGTCCTGAGCCGGGAGGCAATGTCTCCTGCTGGAACAGAAACCCTGGCTGCTTGCTGTGTGCTGCAGAGTGGCAGATCCCCCAGGCTCCAGTTACTCCTCTAGGCTGCAACCTGTGGCTCACGCCGGCATCGCTGTGAGCTCTGCCTGGCCTCAGAGGACCCAGGGGCAGTGGGAGCTGCTCAGGCTTTTTCTTGCACTGAGAGTAATAAAGTCCCTGGGCTAGGATCCAGGAGTCTCCTGCCCTCCACAGCCTCAGACGATTAGCTTCTAAGTGGGATAAAATCAAATCCTGAGCTGTAAACTGCTGCATATTTCCCAAGGATTTTATTATCAGACCAACTGCCCCTGCAGATGAAGCCACTTCTGTCTCGTGCCCTGCTGGGCTGTAAACTTTGTGTCTTAGCCCACCTGGCCCAGGAGTGCTGCCCCGGCTGGCTTCCAGCCCCTTCCTTCTTCCAAGAGTCCTAGGAGAGGCGGACCCAGTGGATGGAACGGACCAGGAGAAAGTGGATTTGATGGAAGGGAAGAGATTAGCTTGAGTTAGTAAACATGTGAAACTAACGAACTGAGGGCAGAAATTGGGGAAAACAGACAAGATGGAGAAGTGAAAGTTTCTGAACATTTACATGTTTGTGGGTGTGAGTGGCAGGCAGGGACTGAGCCAAGAACTCGCTGGAGTTGGGCCAATGGAGCCCCAGCTGGCCTGAAGGGCACACACTGGGCCTATTAATGCTGTCTGTACTCCCAGGACCGGGCCCTGGGCCCTGCCCCTCCTGTCTAATACTGGACAGACAGATGGCCAACACAGCAATGCTCACTTAATGCCGAGTTGTGGGGCGGGCGATCACCAGCCGCCTGCCCCCAGGGGAGGGAGGCGGGGCTGGGCTCTGCATCTCCCAGGCTGCACTTCTGCCGAATTCCTTATGGGCAACTGCAGGCGCTCCCAGGCCTGTACCCAGGCAGAATTGCTTTCTGATGATTATTTTTCCAGCTGAATGAGATTCAGTTAATGGAAGACTTAATAAGTCCTTCTGGGGCCTGCAGGAGAAAGAGCCATTCTGCTGCTTCTGGAAATTAATTTCTGGGTCTGCAGCCACAGGTCTGGGTAGAGAAAGTAGCGGAAGTTCTGGCCTGGGGTTCCCAGGCAGGAGGGCCAAGGTAGCACCACTTTTGTCGGCTGTCTTTGCTAAGAGACAGAGCTGTGCCAGTCAAGGGGAGCTGGCCCCACGCCCGCTGCTGCCTTCCTTGGAGGCGAGCTTGTTTCATTCCCGGAGCACACGGAGGACTCTGTCTTTCTGCTTCATCTTCTGAGGCACAAGGAAGGGATGGATGGGATCCGCCAGGGTGTGCTGTCACGCCCCGAGCACAGGCCTTCCAGCAGGCCCAGCCCAGGGCTGCTCAGCCAGAGCCCAGCAGGTGTCATAGAACCACATCTCCATGTGACTGATGGAGGGGGGTGAGTTCGGGGCGGGGTGGGGGGAGCCTGAGCTTGCGAGCCAGGCCAGGCCAGGACAGAGCGCTGCTGGCCTGTGCAGCCCCACTGGGCCCCGACTCTGCCCTCTGGGCCTCCCTCCCTGAGCTCCACAGTCCGGGTTCTGACATCATTTTTTACTGTTTCTGACATTTTTGAGTCTAGGCTCCTGCTCTGCTTGGAAAAATGAACTTGTAATAGCAGATTACAGTGTGCCGAAAATTCACTGGCCAGGACATCTGGAGATCAATGCAAGGCAAGGTTAAGAAGCTATTTCAAATTTCACCGGAGAGGCACGTGCAGAAGATGAAAGCCAGTCGTTTCTTGTTAGAAACACATCTTTCCTCTAACCTGTTCGGATGTCTGATTTTTTTTTTCTATACAACCTCAGCCCCTGCCTACAAGCACAACAGAGATAACAGGTGGAAGGAAACAAAGGAGAAGCGGCTCTGCTGGTGGGAGAGTGGGAAGGACAAACGCACAGAATCAAACTCAAAGAGCACAGTGGACGGGGCTCCCAGTCTATCCCCCCTCAAGGCCTTGGCACACACTTTCCTCCTCGAGAACTGACTTACCCACCACTGAGCTCCACGGCTCGCTCCTTCGTGGTGCTCATGCCTCTGCCCAACTGCTCTTCCTAGCAAGGCCTGCCCTGCCCACCCTTAAGCAGTATCACTGTCACTCTCTCTTGCTGTAGGACAGTTCCCTTCACAGCTGTGTCCCTCCAAAGTCTCACGTGCTCATAGGTGGGTTGGGGTGAGTCTGCCAGAAGCATCTCTCTCCCTCCCTCCTGCCTTCATTGCTTGCTGCTTCCTGGCCTGCCAGGCTCCCCTGCTTTGGAATTAGCTGACCATGGAACAAAACCTCTACAAACTGGGAGCCAACATAAACCTTCCTTCTTTGAGTCGTGGGTGTCAGCGACGAGGAAAGGAGCGAAGACACAGCTTTAAGCATGAAATGACACTCAATTGCATATGGAATTACTTGGTTATCTGCCTCTGTCTTTGAAGAGGGCAGGGAGTTCATCTGTTTGCTCTACTTGCTCTCCCCATGCTGAGAAGATTGGCAAAGCCCTCAACAAATATTTGCAGAGGGGACAGAGAGCGTTGGCACAGTGAGGCCTTCAGAGCCAGGGGGCAAAGGTTCCCTGTGGTTTGTGCATCCCAGCAGGAGGGAGGCCTGGTCATTCCTGGGGCTCGGAGTCCTCAGGTGGGAAACTGCTGAACACAAAAGCAACCTCCGATCAGCCAGGCACAGGGCATGGGTAGAGCACTGGCTCCAACCTCGGGCCTTTGTGTTAAGGAGTTTCCTGTCCCAGTGCCCTCCCTGAGGAGCAGATCTGCTGTCCCTGGGGAGGGGAAGGCAGAACTCAGCCTACACACTTCCTCTGGTTTCTGCAAAAACATCTAAACCCAAAATACTATAAATGCCACTGTGTAACTGCTCACCGGGCCGCTCTGCACCTGGGGCAGGATGTGAGGCAAGCGGCAGGGAGGGCAGGGCATGCCGGGGCCGTCACCAGGGCTCTGGTTCTTAGACAGCCTGGACCGTGTGAGGGGCCTTGGGCTTCTATCAGCCAGGGGGCTCATTCCTGAAGCCGGGGTGCTGGGGCTCGGGGTCTGTGCTGATCAGACACCATCTCCCCTTCCCCAATGTCTTCCCCTGCAGGCCTTCCCTGTGGACCCAGGAATTGGCAGATTATCAAAACATAAAAGTCACAAGCCTCCCCGAGAGAGCTCACACCCCATGGTGCAAGGGGACAATCAAGTCAACAGTTTCAGGCAAAGGAGTAAGGCGAGAACTGAGTGCAAATCGCAGTTCTGCCACTTACCTGCTATGTGACCTAAGTGGAGCTCCTTAACCTCTCTGAGCCTCAGTTTCTTCATCTGAAAGACAGAAATAAATGCTCAGATGTACTACCAGGAGAGGGTGTGAAGATCTAACAAGAGAGCTTCTGCAGCAGGCTCAGCTTACACCTGCAGGGTATTACCTGCCAGGGCTAAGTGCTTTACCTCGTCAAGCCACTGAGTGTGGGAAGAGAATGCAGTTAACTAAAAGGCACTGGACGTGGGTGAGGGTGCCTGCACATTCAAACTTCCTGCCCCAAACTCCAAAACGAAGACTCTGCCCACAGATCTCTAAGACCACTTCCTGTCCCAAAATGCTGAATGTGCATGGCCTGCCCTGAAAACCTGCAAAACTCCGGACTGTGGAAGAGATGAGTCAAAGCTGTCCCGGGAGGATGACTACACAGGAACACAGGAAAAGGCACCCTTTTCTGGGACCTGCCACACACTAAGCCAACTTCCCACTGGCCCTGGAACTGCCTGGAGCCAGCCAGGCAGAGGAGGCGGGAAGAGAGGAGCTGGCAGGTGTGGTAGATGGGAGGGAGGAGTTCAGAGCTGACCTGGAGCTAGACCCAGGTCAAAGACCGGACTCTCTCCAGAGAGAGGCACCCGCTTCCGGTCGCAGATCACATTTAGGCGAAGCAGGCACAGACTCTGACACTGGAATATCATTTCAACTGGCAGGAAACAAACAACTGGACATCTTGTGGAGAGAGATGTCTTAGGTACTTTTCTTTCATTGCTGAAACAAAATATCTGACACCCAAAGTTAAAGGAGGAAAGATGTATAGTTAGCTCACAGTTTGTAGAGGTTTCAGTCCGTAATGGGCTGGCTCCAAGGCAGGGTGGCAGGCAGACAGGCAGAAGGCAGCCAAAGCAATAAAGGACCTTAACAGCGTCTTTCTGCCCCTCTTCTCTTATCCAGACTACTTTTAGGGTGGGTACCGCTCACACCTTAATCCCTTGAGCCCAGCACTGCACCATGAATCAATTCCAGCATCACACGCTCTAGATCCAGCCACCTCTGAAAAATCCCCACCTCTGACCACAGGAGGCTTTGGGGGACATCGAGACACATCCATAACAGAGAGGGAATACGAATCTGAGAATTTGGGAGGTGGTATAGCTGTCATGTTGGCTTCTGTCCTAAATGCCAAGGGGAGGAGGGAGCTCATTAAGCACATTACCAGAAGGCAGCGATACTGCTTATAGGCTTGCGGCAGCTGTGGTCACAGCTCCTGTCACCTGTGAGGTGTGCACGATGCCTTCTCCCCAGAGAGGGGGATGCAGGGAGCTCTCTGAATGTCAGACCGCTGGACTTCTGCTGCTCCCTCTCCCCAGGACCTGTGCCCATGAACCTGAGCTGGCTGTAGTCTGAGGCCAACAATGGATGACAGAGCCCTAGGACTTGTGACATGTGTGGCTAGCCCACCTGGGTCCAAGTCCCAGCTCTGCCACTCTGGCTGTGAACCCTTCAGTGAGCCATCTCACCCTGATGTGCACCAGCTTCCAGCTCGAGGTAACTGTAGTGCTCAAGTGGGCTGGCCACATAGTAAATGCGCTCTAACTCACTGTCACCACTATGGCCGCCGTCTTCACCACCATCACCACCTTTCTTGTCACCACCAGTTATCACTGTAGTCACCATCACCCGCATCACACTGTCACCACCATCTACTCTGGGCCAGATGTTCACATCTCACAAGAGGTGTCTTTGAGCCCATTTCCCAGGTGAGGACGCTGAGGCCGAGGGCATCCAAACACTCTGGATCAGTCATCACACCAGCAGGTAATCAGTTGTGAGCCGGGGAGAGGCTAAGAACTTTGCAAGATCCTCAACCCAACCCTCGTGGGCTGGCCCACACCAGGTGGAGGGCTCAGAAAGGCCAGCTGCGGCCACACACTGATCTCTCCCTCTCCAGCTGATGCAGGCTCTGCCAAGCGAACAGCCTCAGACACCTCCCCTCCTACGCAGGGCCAGATGGGGGAACGGAAACACAGAAAGGTGCAGGGGGGTGGTAAAATCGGCACAGGTTTCTAGCACTCCCGTGGAATCCCACAGCCCCCGGAGCCAGGCACTTCTGTGTCTATGGGTGGCTACTCAAGTTCAAGAAAACACGCAGGCTCACGGCCAGGACCCCCACGCTTCTGCAGACACAGGCGGAGAGATGCCCAGCCATCCCAGCCCTCCCACGATGGCTGAGGATGGGCCCTGGGGGTACTGTCTCTCACCTCTCACCTCGGGCTTCACAGGAGCATGAAGGTAAATTATCTCTGAGCTGCCCCTGCTCTGCACACTGCCCAGCTGCTCTGGAAGGGGCAGAGGACAGGAAGCCTGCAGAGCTTCTGCTGGCAAAGCAACTTCTGTGTCAGTGTGACGGATCCCAGCTAGCTTAAGACAATGATGTGCCCAGAGTCAGGGAGCGGGTCAGCAACATGGCAGGGGGCGCAGCTGGGGCTCCGCCAGTGCTGCTTGGCTCCTGTGAACTGCCTCATGCAGCACTGTATGACTCAAAACTTTCTTTTCCCAGGACCTAGTGTGTGCCAGGAATTGGGATGGATTTCAGAGGATACAAAGATGAGCCCATTGAGACCGTATCCATGCAGAGCTGGCCAATCAGTAAAAGGTGAGAGATGCTACGACCACGGCACTAATGAGGTCTCAATATCAGGGCTGACTCCAGTGAATGGAGTCCTCATAAGAAGATGAAGAGAGGGCCAGGGATTTAGCTCAGTGGTTCCGGCGCCTGCCTTGCAAGCGCAAGGTTCCGAGTTCGATCCCCGGTACAAAAAAAAAGGTGAGAGAAGCTCAGGGCGGGTTTGTGAGGACGAAGTAGGGAAGGGGATCTGCATGCCAGAAAGAAAGCTCTCGCCCCAACACCTCCATTAGCCTCCAGAACAGCAGGAAAATAAACTTGTTTAAGCACCGCCCCCCAAGGTGGTGGTGTTCTGCTATGGCAGCCCCAGTCAACAGACACAGGGCTGTACTTACCCGCTCCACTTGCCAGACAGAGAAACTGAGGCTCAGGGTGGTGAAGCAATTGCTGAGTCCAGATAGCTACTGTGCGATAGAGCCTGGGTCAGATCCCAGCAGTCAGTGGCCACTCGAACCGGTCAGATATTGATTCGCCATATCCAACCCCTCTCGTGAGACAATAATACTTCCCCACCCCACTGATGCCAGGCCTGGCCACGTCACTTGCTCTGGCCGTGGAAGTGCGAGCAGTCAGATGACTGCCCTCACTGGGCAAGAAGCTGTGACCATGACTACATGATCCTTCAGGTCTGGCCTGAGCCCCAGGGAGCAGCTGCCTTGAGCCTGGATCTGGAGCTCAGAAAACTCACACTACAGTGACAAGTCACAGCCAGCCTGCAGTGACCCACAGCTTGTTTACCTGGAATGTGAACCAGATTTGCTACAAGTCATTGAGCTCTGAGGATTGTTTGTTATGCAGCAAATCTGACAAATACAGGGCTCTTCCTGCCAGGAGGGGCTCTTTACCTCCTACTAGCAAATGCTGAATCTCTAAGAACTGAATAGGTCGTCAGAATATCTTCCTGCTACTGAGGCTTTGCATTTAACAACTGGGTGGCCATGAATAAGCCACTTTCATTTTCTAAGCCTTCAGTTCCTGATCTGCAAAACTGGAATGCTGAGAGAACCTGCATCCCAAGACTGCTGCAAAGCTTCAGCAAGAGATGTAAAGTTCTCAGCACAATTCCTGACGCACAAGAGGAACTCCACATGGGTAGCAGTTAGGATGGCAGTGTGATGGGTGAGGGCTGAGGACGGACAGAGCTGGACTGTAGTCAAATGCTGCTCTGTGGCACATCCTCGCAGCAGGTGCTCCCTTGGGCACACAGCACCGGGGTCTGCACTGCTGTGGGCCAGGGGCAGGGCTGCTCCCACCCAGAGAGACAGCAGGAAGTAGGCTGGGGAGGAGCAGGAAGGAGAGGCAATGAGGCTGGGCTTCCCAGGCACAGTTGTCCATGCACGCACAGGATGGAAGGCAAGGTGCGAAGGCACATGGAGGGTCATACTTCTCTCTCCATCCACCAGCCTCAGTTCTTAGAGGGGAAACTGAGGTCTGGGAAAGAGGGGGTACCTCCCCCAAGATCACACAGCTGGACAGTCTCAGACCTTGGGCCAGAATCCCAGTCCCTTGAGGCCAGTCTGGGCATCATTCCTCTACTGCCTGCTCACTGAGCAGGAAATGAGGCTCATCCTTTTGCTGGCTTGGAAGCCAATGTCAAATTTCGCCACCCTTGTGGGTGGATTTGCCAGATCTTTGTACAGTTCAACAGGCTTTTCTTTGAGTCACCTCATAACATCTCCCCTCCTTTCTAGGAAGAGTTGAACCTCTTTACAGGTTTGCTGGATCTCAGCAGGGAGTGAGTGGCAAGCTGGGAAGTCAACTCAGGAACAAATAAATGGGAACTGGCAGCCCCTGGCTGGTATTTTTGGTCCTTCTTTGTGTTTCCCCCAAGCCCTGTGACAGGTGACTTTGGCCACAGGAAGCCCTGAGCTCTGCCCTCAAAATCCAGGATGCCACAGAATGCTCGGGGTGCTCTGTGGTGGAGAAGAGGCTGGGCTGGGTGGGCTTGAGGAAGAAGGAGAGGTTGGCAGGGCCAGGGAAGATGGGATGCATGCGACAAGGCAAGGGAGCAGCGCAGCGAGGGAGTGAGGAGGACAAACCCTCCAGGCACTGGCTTTTGCTTCTGTCTTGGGGAAGGGCAGCTGGTAATGGATAGCAGAATCCATGCCTGGAAAGTCTGAGGGGTGGGAGGAAGTGAGCCTCCATTTCTTTCATCAGAAAGATGGGAAAACTGAAGCTAACTCCTCAGACTGCAGGGCACAGTCAGTGATGTAACACACAGGAGATATCTCAGAACAGGCACGGCAGGCTCCGGAGCTGTGCTGGCCTGAGCACCTGCCGCTGCAGAGAAGCAAAGTCTTAGGAACAGAAGTGCTGACGGTGGCCTCGCCCTGGACTCTCCTCTCCAGAATGTGCACAGCAATGGTGCACAAGACAGCATCT